ATCTTCTTCGGACAGATCTTTGCCCAAGCACTTGAGAAATGGGACCCCTTCCTTTCCAGCTTCTAAAGTTTTTCTCTTTTTAGTAGAATTTGTTTGCTTTATAAAAGGAGATGGAAACAGCACAGGCTTTGGGACTGATTTCCCCTGGGGTCAAACTCTGGTTCTGCTACTTTCTCACTGTGTGGCCTTGGACAAGTGACTCAGCCTCTCTGGACTCAGCTTCCTCACTTTGAAAACAGGATGATACCATCCTCTGCGTGTTGCCCTGAAAATGAAGCAGGGCCATCCAGCCAAGCACCTCCCGCAGCATCCATCTGCTCGCACGCAGCCCGCTGGGGGCCCAACCACACCCAGTACATCATAGAGACCCACACCACAGGGATGCATGCAGTGAGGCCCTACACAGAGGGCTGGCTGCATGCTCGGCGCCCATCCTGGGGGCTCAGAGGGCTGGCTGCATGCTCGGTGCCCATCCTGGGGACACAGAGGTCTGGCTGCACGCTCGGCACCCATCCTGGGGGCTCAGAGGGCTGGCTGCATGCTCGGCGCCTATCCTGGGGACACGGAGGGCTGGCTGCACGCTCGGCGCCCATCCTGCTGGGGGTGGCTTGCATGTGGCCCAGTCTGCAGACTCAGAAGCTTCTCTGCCAGCCCTTACAAGTGTGCTTTGGGAGTTCCTGCAGATTTGCGGGACTGTTACGAAGGCATCGTGAACCACATCTCAGCATTCGAATGGTCAGTCAGAGAATTCAAAGCCTCTAACAGAGGGGGGGGCCCCCAGCTGGCGCAGGGCCCGGCTCTGGTTGTGGGTGACCTTTGACAGGGTTCACGGGTGCCCTGTAGCCACTGCAGGCATGACAGGAAACCAGCCCAAAGCACACCGAGCCTCCTGATTGTGGAAATGGCTAGGGCCCTGTGAACGTAGCCAAGGAGACGGTCAAATGTCCCCACAGACCCCACTGCCAAGGGCATGGAGCCAAATCTTAAAAGCATTTTGCAGAAAGGGAATTCTCGGAATGTCTTCCCTCGGGGGCTGCTGGAGGAAGCTGCACATTTGTAGTGCTGGGTCCTCGGGCCAAGTCCGGGGTTGTCCATCCCAGCCCGCCGCGCCCAGGGCTGCCAGCAACCAGAGCCCAACGTGATAATTCAAGCAATAATAATAACCACGCAAACTGAAGAAGGAGCTTCTCTACCAAGTCAGAGACAAACTATAAACTTCCGGTACCTCCTCCATCCCTCTTCCACAAATTTAAGATAATTACTTGGAAATAAGTATTGAAGTATTTATCCCGATTTTTTTTTTGTTAAGCATTTTTAAAAATTCCTAAGAATACCTGGGTTTGTTTATAGATAGGAAACATATATGACACTCAACATATGTGTTAATTTTTAAAAATGTAACATCATCATGGCACACCCTGGTTCGGTAGGGAAAGATGTCAAAATACTTCCATCCTGGATGCACAGATGAGACACGCAGCGAGTGGGTGACTGGGCGGGCTCGCCCAGCAATGTTTGTCTACACGAAAAGCATTTTGGAAATGATTTTTACATGAAAAAAAAAAATAGAACAATGGAGCCTTTACTCCTGGGTCCTGTGCCCTCACAACGAGTTATTCTAGAACGTTCTGAAGAAAAATTTGGAAACGCAGCTTTTGCTGTATCTTCCCTGCCACCATGGGACTTACCTGGTCCAAGGTTCAAAGTGATGCCTTCTAGAGAATTCCAGGAAGGCTGCTGTCTCTGGTGGGTCCCGTAGGGTGATGTGAAGATAGTCTCCCACAGGGGGCAGTGTGAGAGCCCAGCTCGGGAACAGTGGCAAGGACCCCGCACTGAGACCCCTGCCCCCACCCCCCTCGCCTGCGCACAGAAGCTCACTTCAAAGCAGCGGGGTTCCCTTTAAGGAGTGGTTAAAACCGGCAAGCAGCTGCCGTGAGTGTTGGAACTCACCACATCTTCGAAGGTTTGGTGGCAAGGAGAGTCCTTTCTGGGCAGTGCAGCAGTCTGGCTCCTTGGGCCTAAGGGAGATGGGGTGGAGGAGGGAGCACTGTGCTGGGAGCAGGGAGTGTCCCCAGCTGGGGAGGTGAGTGACTGGGTCCTCCATGCAGGGGATGAGCGGGCCTGGACACAGGGGGACTGTGGCCAGGAGCAGAAGCAGAAGGAGCCCGGTCTTTTCCTAGATTTACGGGATGTTTCAGTTTCTATCACATATGTGTTGGCCAGCTGCGTTTTCCCATAAGCCCATGCCATTCCTCATTGTCCCTCAATTTGCTTCCACCCAGAAGTAATGCAGAATCTCTATGTTTACATTCCCTTTGTAAAAACTTCCAGCAGTGTGACGAATTCCAAACCAGGGGTGGTTGTTAGTTTACAGTTTGTTACAAGCCTCTAAATGAGCCAGTGGGTGAGCATGCCTGGGAGACATGGCGGTGGAGGAAGGAGACTGGTTCCACTGGTCACGCGGGGCGGGGCGGGCTATCTGGTAACCGCCAGCACGTGTCACCTTGCCCGCAAGGGGAGACGTGGAGCCCCAGGTATCTCATTATCCCTGTTATTCTGGCAAGGGGGCTGGAGTCCTTGAATTATTCAACTGCGCAGATCTGGCTACAGATCAGAAAATAATTAGGTGTTTCCTCCAAACAAGAAGAGATTTCTGAGAGAAGGAGAGCATTCCCCCACCCCCCACCCCCAGGAGCCTGCGGGCAAAATGGGGAACTAGTGTTCAATGACTAGGTAGCTCGCAGAGAGCTCACAGGATCATTCTGCTTCCACTTACTAATATCAGACGTGCCAAGTAAGGGCTCATTCATTCCCCCCCCCACCCCCAGCCCAGCTCACCTGGGCACTCTCTGCCAGCTTCCTGTTTTGTTTCCCACAAGGGCTCTCAGACTAGCTGCCTCCCAATCCCTTCCTCTTTTTCAAAGAAAGTCAGGCCCCTTGGGCGTAAACTCCTTTGTCCTTCTGCTGCTCCCTGCCCACAACCCAAACTCACCCTCCTCTCTGTCTCCTGGTCTCCCACCTCTAAGCAAGAAATACCTCCTTTCCTTCCCCGCCATGCACCAGGCCTAGTTTAAACCCTTTTCTTGCACCCTTGGGATCACCTTCTAGCTGGTCTCTCTGCCCCCTCCCACTTCCTTCCAACCCGGGCTCCACCTGCTGCTGGAAGCGATATTTGTAAAATTCCATTTTTTCACTCTGTGCTTAAGAGAGCTTGTTGCTTCTCCTTTTCCATGGTACAATCCACTACCCATCACTTGGGGGCTCCAGTTGCAGGTTCTGCCTATCTCCTGACTGCCTGTAACTCTCACAGCCCTTTGCCCCCTCTGCCTCAGGGCCTTTACACACACACACACACACACACACACACACACGCCTTCATATGCCCTTGTACCAACCTCCCCCCTTCTGGGAGGCACCTCACTCCTGTCTTTAGCACTGGGTATCCAGCGCAGATCCATCACAGCATCTGTGGTTCCCTCTGCTCTACTGTTCCCAGGGCTTTTGCATATTAAGTGTCAAAAATGGCACTATCCTGTGAACCAGATCTAGGTTCCTAATCCCGGATCTGTCAAGCTAGCCTGTCTCCTTAGCAAACTCCCCTCTGGGCCAGTTTCTAGGGTTTTTCTTTCCCAGAACAGTGGCAGGGAGGGCCTGAGGGGAAGCCAGGGAGGACCCCTCTGCTGCCACACCAGGGCCAGAATTCCGCACCGATGGTTTCAACCAGGCCGGAGCACCGGAAATGCTAGGTGAGAGAGCCCTGGGAATGGTAGGTGGGAAAAGGCTAAGCGCTTGGGTGCAGCCAACCCAACTCAAGGTCAAATCCGTCTTGTAACAGCTGCAGAAAACACGTGCGAATCACTACTTTGTGATTTAGGCCCTTCATTCGGCCTTGGAGAATCTCGGGCTAGTGCTTGTGGCATTTCCTACTAATGGGAGCTGAGTCTGCAAGGTGAGGGGCGCAGGAGGCATGCCTCGCACGCGCACACACACACGCACACAATTCTTAACAAATAACCCATCCCTGCGAAGTTGGGGCGTTTTTCCTGAGACCCTCCTTGGGGGACACGCAGCCCGTAAGGGGAGGCTCCAGGCCCTCCAGACTTCAGGGTGCGAGTTGCGGATTTCTAGGGACTTTCCAAGTATGTTAAAACCAGACAGTGTCTTGCTGTTGGGCAGATGGTGATCCTAGAAATCACCCCTCCACGCGCACAGGCGCGCACACACGCGCACGAAAGCCAAGCCCGCGGGCCCCACCGCAGACCTGGGGTCCAGCTAAGTGGAAAACCCCGCGCACTGAGCTGTCGCGGCGCCACGCCGGAGGCACGTCCCCGCTGGAGGAAGCCGGCCATCCCCCCCCCCTGCGTCCCCGCCACGGCCCGCGTGGCGTGGCGGGGACAGGCAGGCGCGCGGTACCGCGTGGGGGCGGGGACCGGCAGGCGCGCGGGGCCGCGGGGCCTTTAAGGGGCCGGGGGTGGGGGGGTGGTGGGGCGGGCCGCGGGGGGACGCGGCCGCGAGGGCCCGGGCGCAGGGGCGGTTCCCCGCCCCCGCCCCAGGCCCCGCCCCCGCCCCGCCCCGGCCCGAGCCTCCTCCGGCCACTGCTGGGCCGCGGGCGGGACGCCCTGGGCGGCGCGCGGAGGAGGAAGCGCGCGGGCAGCGGCCCGGGACCTGCCCAGACGCGCTAGTCGGGAACGCCGGGCGCCGCGTCCCCATTTTCCAGGTGTGCGGGGCTGGGGCGCAGTCCCGGGCCGCGGCCGTCGTGCGCCGGCCGGGCATTTCTTCCCGCTCGCGCCGCGCGGCCGCCCGGCCTCCGGGCCCGCGCCGCCAGCTGCCGACCCAGCCCCGCCGCGCCCCGTCCACGCCCCCCTCCCTCCACCCCCCTCCGCGAGCCGGGCCGGCCGCGCGCTCATGTCCTGAGCTCGCCGCCCGCGGGCTCCGCGCCCCCCAGGCCCGGGGCTGCCCTGGCAAGTTGGGGCGAGGCGCGCCGGGTATGCGCCATCACCATGTCCCGCCTGAGCTCGTGGCTCGGTGAGGTCCAGTGGCTGGTCTTGGTGTCGCTCTTCGTCGTGGCCCTGGGCACGGTGGGCCTGTACCTGGCGCAGTGGGCGCTGGCCAGGGCGCGACCCCGGCCCCCGCGGCGGGCTGCCGAGCCTGGCGAGGGCCGGCGCCCCGAGTCCGACGCGCTGCTCGCCTGGATACTGACGCTGAACAGCTGGAGGAGCCGGTGGCAGGCCGCCTGGGTGACCGCCCTGAATGATGAGGCCAAACGGAAAGGGGTGAGTGTCTGTGAGGGCGGGTCGTGGCTGCGAGGCTGATGGCCCGGTGCCGGCAGTAAGGGCAGAGCTCTTCCCTGGAGCCTCGCCACGGCCCTGGACTGATGGAAGTGAGGCTTCCCCACGGCGGAGCATTCTTGAAAGTTAGGAGAAAGACCCGGGAGAGGGAAATCAAGACAAAGCGATTAGATGGTATTCATCACCCATCAGGTGTGCCGGGCCCGGGCTCTACCGCAGGGACATGCTGGCCTTGGATGGGACTTGTCGGAGGGGCCCACTGCCCTTCCTGGAGTCCCAGGTGTCTTCCGGGACCCAGCTGGATACTTACTGCTTTCACACCTGATAGATGAATAACTGTGACCCAAATATGATTCCATCTATAGAAATGAATTTTTTCCAAGAACATATTTCCCAAAGGTTTGCACCCCTTGGCTTATGGAAGTAGTCGCTTTTGTTGTGGGCCAGCCACCTGCCAGACATGGTCTTGGGGACTTTCAGTACATATATCTTCTTTTTGGATCCTCACAACTCCTGGGACGGAGGCGTTGTCCACATTTTACAGGTGGGGAAACTGAGGCCTAGACAAGTTAGATGACCAGCCCAAGGTCACACGGCCTGTGGGTGGCAGAGCGGGCACTGAACTCCGCTGCCTCCTACCTCCCAGCTCGGGGGCTCACTGCCTCACTCTGCCACCACACTCTCCCGTGGTCGTTTCTTCCACAGTTAATTCCTTGGTGACTTATTTTTACTTTAAGACATCTTCGTTTCATGACAAGCTCCTGGCGTCTACAATTTCTGGGCATTCCCTGAGAGGAATTAAGGCCTGGTGTGTTTGGGGAAGTGCCTGACAAGCCTTTGCTCATCACCCTTGCTTTTGTCTTCCTCCACCTGGTTCCTCCACCTGCTTGCGAGGCTCCGTGGAGAAGCCTGTGGCCATTCGCTTTAAAAGTAGTGAGTGCTTCATGTCTGGATCCCTCACCCTCCGAAATATTCCCTAGGGGGCCCTCTGCCTGGTCTTTGCGCCATGGCCTTGACTCACACAGCCATGGATTTTTAAAAAAAGAAGTCTTTGAGTGTAAATGAGTATAAATTCATTAAACTCAAAAGAACCGTGTGTTCTGAACTATTGAAAAAATTCACTCTACCTTTTGGATGAAAAAAGCCTTCAAGGTCAATCGACTGCCGTCTGTCTTGATGCCTAGAATCTGTACCCCAGCTGTCCAGAGCTGGACATCTCCTATTCAGGGGAACCCTCCATCTCTCCCCAGACCGCCTCTTTTTAAGTAGGCTCCACACCCAACATGGGGCTTGAACTCACGACCCTGAGATCAAGAGTCACATGCTCCACTGATTGAGCCAGCCAGGAGCCCCGGAACCGCCCCATCTAAAGCCATGTGACCTCACACATGTGAGCAAACAGATTTGTTTCCCCAGGAATCTGCTGTCTTTGGCGACCTAACTGACCTGCTATCACAGGCCTGGGTTCTGCGGCTGAGTTTACTCTGGGCTGGTGGTGTGCGCAGGTGGGAGCCTTGCCCCAGTTCTCTGCAAAATTTGAGCGAATATGGGCTGAATGATCTGTAGAAGCCTTCGCTTCTAACCGTGGGACTCTTGCCTCCTGCAGATTTGGGATAGTCCTGCTTACATCATGTTGCTTCCTGTCATGACATTTCTTGATTGGCTTCAGAAAATAGGATTGCCTTAGGATGCTTCCAGATTGCCCATGCATGCGCTTGGCGTGTTGATGAAGAAGGGAGGAACACGCTGCTCTGGGATTTGTCTTTGCTTGGTCAGGTAAAGCAGAGAACACCAAAAAAAAAAAAAAAAAAAAATGCCTGAAGCTTTCACCCAGATCACCTGCATTTTTGTGTGGGAGCAAGAGGGACTCTGTGTTCTGGGAGACAGAGATTTGGTTTGCGTGTTCTCTCTTCTCTACCTGCTGCTGACCATGCACCGTGGAGCTTTAGACATCAGTCGTTGCAGACTCCTGCCTGGAAGTGGCAATACCCCGGGGTCAAGCTGAAAATGTGCCGAGTCTTTCATGGTTTGGGAGGACGCAGCTTGGTTGTGATTGTGTTGTCAGAGGTGGATTGGGGTGTGTGTGTGTGTGTGTGTGTGTTGGAAACCTCTGCCCTCCCTGATGCCTGGAAGCATTGCTTGATTTGAAATCAAATGACAGGTTTTGCAGACAGATAGGATCTGGGTAAGTGACTTGGCATAGCCTGCTGTCTCGGGCCACCACTGTCGCTGCACTGGGTGAGCTGGTGTGGTGTGAGTGGGTGTCCCGACCCTGGCGGCCGGCCCTGCAGGAGTTTCTCTTTGTCCCCCTCCAGCTCCATTCCCACTGACTCCCACTAATCCCCGATTAGGGTTGACACTCGGAGCCTGCCCTCCTCTGGAGAGCAACAGCTTAGTGGTGCTCGCCCGCCCCTGCCCTGCCCTGGTGGACCACTTCTCTGCCTGTCGCTGGGGCTTGAGGACGCGCCGGATGGAAGTTAACCATGCCTGGCATCTTCCATGCAGAGGGAATTCTCTGTGGATGGAGACAGGAGCTCCTCCCAATTTAAGCTCTGCTCCAGCCTTGAATTTTAAGACTGGAAGGGACCCTAAACTCCTGTACAGAGCGCCCTCCATCTGCTGGAGAGGCTTGCCCGGGCTGACCTAGCTCCTGGGTGGGTGTCAGTGTGGTCCGCCTACGTCTGTTGTCACATTCCCCCGTGGACAGCAAGTTTAACTTTGAGACCCACATGCTCCGTTCATTGAGGCACAGCAGGAAAGGGTGAAAGGGCGTGATTGTTTGACCTGCTGTCCTAACAATGGGGCTCGTATCTCCCAGCATCTGAGGGCTGGTCGCTAACTTGTGGACTCTCCTTTGACCCTGACCATTGACTATGGCACTGCAGGCTTCCCATGTCAGACGGGCCCCTGGGGTTCCAGTCCTCACTCCAGAAGCATTTGTAAACTAGACAGGATGGTGATTTGGGGAGACACAAGGGGAAACCATCGTCGCTGTACCAGCTGGTCAGGCAGATGCCAGGTGTTTTGAAAGCCCAGGCAAGCTGCCTGGAGAGCTTCGAGAAAATCCACATGCTCCCCAACCCCCCAGTTCGGGCTTGGTAGGTTGGCAGAGCGCAGGGCGCATGCCATGGTCTTCACGGGCTCCCCAGGTGGCTTCTCGCCAGTGAGAAGCCCCTAGGTGCACACCTGTCCCTCAGCCAGCCCCCAATCAGGGTCCCTCCCACCCAGTGACGTCTCCCCTCTGGTGCCGCAAACACCGAATTCCTGTTGACCTGGTGGCCCTTCAGTCACGGAGAACAGAAAGCTCCCAGAGCTGGCTCTGTCGCTAGCCTGGAAACCAGTACCCCCTCACTTCTGTGAACGTTTATGAAGTGGTTTGTGGTGATCATCAGTTACCCCTCCAGTACCCCAACACCCACCTGGGAGGCTTTGGAAGCCAGGGTCCTTGTGGACAGGCAGCCCCTCCCAAGGCTGATGCTGCTGGGCCACATGCGGGGAACAGTGGCTGCAGAGCGAGGGGCTGTGTCCTGTGGCTGGTGTTCCGGGTTCATCTAGGACTGGACTGCCCAGCTTGGCAGAGGCCCTGAGTTAGGACGGTCACCAAAACTATTTGTTGCTTTAGTCATTTGCCTGAGGATTTTTTTAAGAGGAATGTTCTCAATGCAAATGACCAAGACTGTGGGACCATTTGTGGTCTTTGTAAAAAAAAAAAAAAAAAAAAAAAAAGACGCTGTGTGAACTTAAAACATGTTATTAATAGCTCTGATCTATATATGAGCTTTGACATTTTAAAAAGTGAACACAGCGACAAGACTTCACAGTTTTCCTATTTCACAACCAACTTTGAGTGGCGCTTACAAAAATCTAAACTCCCTGAGCAGTGTCGGTGGCCACGAAATGGGAGGTCGGTTGGCAAGAACGTGAAGGTGACTTTGGGTCAGGGCCGTGGCTCTGCCCCGCCCCCTAACCGATTGCCTTTCTGCTGCTCAAACATTCAGGGTTTTCTCCCATGTGGGGCCTTCCCATAGGTCATTCCTTTCGTCTTGAACACTTAATTACCCTTTCTCATTCTTTGACTTCTATAAACCTTCAGGTCTCAGCGCAGAGGTCCCCCATCCTCCCATCCAAGAGGGTGCTGCCCCACCCCCACCCAGGCCACCTGTCCTGTCACCACACCTGTGTCCTCATCGGCTCCCGGGATTGTGGACGAGCCCAGAGAGCCCTGTCTATCCGGGCACAGCTGCCTCCGTGCCCAGCACAAGGCAGGCTCAGAGCAGGCGGCGGCCAGGAGATGAATGACAGGCCCTGGTAGGAACTTGTCACCAGACGGGGAGGAATGGTGGCGATGTGCATCACCCTGTCTGGACACAGGCCTTCCCTGCTTGGGAGCTGGCCAAGCCTGGGCAAGACAAGCTGTTTAATGTGCTTTGTTTTTCACTTCTAAAGAATCAACAGTCAAGGAGGCTCACTGATGACTTTGCAAATTGCCAATATGAAACCCGGGACTAGGCTCCAGTTCCGGCTGTTCTTTGCCCTCACCCATTCTCCCAAAGAGACAGGAATTGAGGGGAAGGAAGAGTGGGTGTAGTGTTAACGTCAACTAAAATGCAGCCAAAGCTAACTTCCATTCCTATCGGCCAGGTCGTGGGTTGCTGAGGCGGGAGGGGACTTCTTGAGCAGCTTGGAAGAAGCCGTGTTTGCACTGCTGAGGCTGGAAGGCAATTCCGGGGCTGTGTGACCTTGGGCAAGCCCTGACTTCTCTGTGCTTCATCTGTAGGAGAGGATGACTTTGGGTTCAGTCTGGAAAACAGAATCCACTGTGAGCGGGATGAGGTCTGTGTGAGGTATTTAGCAAATAGCCAATAAAGGTGGGCTGTTTTCTTGTAAAGTCTCCCTTAAAAAAAAAAAAAACCTTTTATTTTTTACTGCTTTTAGATACATAGAAAAGTTGCAAAGATAATTCAGAGTTTCCATACATTCCTCACCCAGCCTTACATAACCACAGCACATCAGAACCAAGAAATTAACATTGGCACAATGTTACCATAATTCCTAGTGCAGTGATATTAACAATGTGATGTGTAAGAAATTAACATTGGCACAAAGCCTTTAAACTGAAGGCCTGACTTGAATTTCACCTAGTCTACCAGTTTCCTTTTATTGTTCCAGGATCCTATTAGGTCCGACGGCACTGAGCTGCGACTTCTCCCAGTCTTGCAAAGTCTGTAACGGTTCCCTAGTCTTTCCTTGTTTTTCACGACCTTGACAGCTCACGACCTCGGAAGAGGACTGATGGTTATTTTGCCAAATGTTGCTCAATTTGGTGTTTTCACAGACTTGGACCGAGGTTATACAAAGCACAGAAGTGATGTGCCCCTATTAATATCCCATAGCATGGGCTTTGTGACATCGGAGTTCTTACTGCGGGGGCATTGGCCTTGATCCCCGGGTGAGGGCAGTTTCTGCTGGGTTTTCTTCCTTATACCTTGTGTCTCTTCTCCTGTCATCCTCTTGATGGTGAACAGCTATCTTGGGGAGCTACTTTGAGACTGTTACAAATCCTGTTACTCGTCAACCTTCTGCTCACTGATTTTGGCATCCATTGTGTATCTGGTCTGCTGGATGATGGTTCTCTGTTTCCTTCTCTCCTTCTACATGGATTTATGGCAATTCTCCTGCGAGAAAGAGCTCCCACTTCTCCATGCCCTCGATGACTTGCCTCTGTGTGGACTCACAGATATTTATTTTATTCTGCAGCTTATAATCTGATGCCATTGCTGCTTGCTTGGTTGGCGGAATTGCTCTCTTGTGTTCCGCCATCAAGATACATAAATATCTATCGATTTAGCACTTCTCTTCTTCATGATTCCACAAGATGTTTGTTCTAGACTCATCTCGCATTTTTTATTTTCCGCTCTTCCAGCCCCAGGCTCAGCCACTGCTTCGAGCCGCGCTGATACCTTTTGTTGGAGAAGTGTTTAGAAACCAAGGTCTGGGGGCACCTGGGTGGCTCAGTCGTTAGGCGTCTGCCTTCGGCTCAGGTCGTGATCCCGGGGTCCTGGGATGGAGCCCCACATCGGGCTCCTTGCTCAGCGGGAAGCTGAGGAGAAGCATCTCCCTCTCCCACTCCCCCTGCTTGTGTTCCCTCTCTCGCTGTGTCTCTCTCTGTTCAATAAATAAATAAAATCTTAAAAAAAAAAAAAAAAACCAAGGTCTGGGCATCAGACATGCTTGTTACTCCTGGGGTCTCATGGCTTCTAGACCCTTCTAGTAGACAGAGCTAGGAGGTATGGCTTTTTGCCAGCACACTCACAGGCTTATGTCTGTTGTTCTGTATCTTTCTGTCTGTCTGGAGGCTGATACCTCAGATTCTTGTTCAACAGCAGAGTCCCAGTAACTCTCCTTTCCTCACTTATATTCTCCCTCTCCAAGAGGCAGGCGTCTGGCCCTTCCTGTATCTGACATGTTGACTTGGTCAGTTCTAGTAGACACGTGAAGCAGTTTCTGCACTGCTGACCTCCCCTGTGAGAAACACACTTATGGAGCAGGTTACACATTTATGCAGTTGGGATGTCGTCTGATCCACAGTTTCTGAGGTTAGCTCTGTGTTCTCCCACCCCTTCAGGGGGTGATGGGCTTCATAGGTAATGCGGTTGGGTTCATTTGTTTGTTTATATACCTTCGGGGGTTCCTCCCACGTCCTGATTTTTTTAAAAATCCATTTTTTTAAACCAGTGATTTGGGATGCTGCGTTTGTCACCCACGAAGTTTCTCCGTGCGTTTGGGGTTGTGGTGGACATGCTGGTCTGGTCCACTGGGCCGTTTTGTGTCCATGCACCCGTACCGCACAGTTGGAGTCACGGAGGTACTGCGGTGTGTTTTCACGTCGGGTGGGGCTAGTCCTCGCTTTTTTTTTTCCTTGGTGTCTTCCCGGCGACTCCTGCATGTTGCTTTTCCCTGTGGATGTAAAGCCCTGCTCTGGTCCAAGTGAGGTGGTGTCTGCACATGGACAGAGTGTGAGAGGCACAGCAGCGAGGGATTACGTCCCGCCCGCACGCTGGGCTTCCTGCAACCCAAGGACCAGACTCTTTGGAAAGGCAAGGGAACCTCTGCATCTTTATTTTAACTCAATAATTCATTTCGTTTGGGCGCCCACCCCTTGACATTCAATTTCCCAGCAGAATCTTTTCCGGGTTTTAATCTAGAAGGTGTCAGAGGGAGAAGAGTAGAGAGCGCATCCACTGACATCAGGGTCCCCAGGGTGCTTGAGGTCTCCCGTAGCTGCAGCTGCTTCACCGGGCCACGCGGGGAGCCGCGCCCACCCCTGCCCGCCCATTCCCTCCCCGCCCCTGGCCCGCAGCTCACACCCAAACAGGCTCCAGCCACGGAGAACGTCTGCGGAGCAGCCCGAACGGTGACTTCATCACTCTTGAGAAGTAGATTTAACTCTCCCCTGATGATTTTAGGGGGTGAGATAGATGTCGCTAAAGCAGGGTGCGGTCGGACGCCTGTAAGTGAGAACGTTCTGGGTCTTTTAGATTCACTCTTGGTCATCGGGAATTCTTAAGAAATAGCCCCAGGATGACTTCACGGCTTGCTCATTTGCACCCTGCTTGTCAGAGGAACTTTGGTGCCATCTTGTACCATTCAATTCTCCTGCCGTCGATCGTGGCTTGTAGTTGCGAATGGCTGGCCACGTGGAGAATGTCTGACATCATGACAGAGGGTGTGAAGTCGGGAGGTTGAATAATATGTTTTTTTTTTTTAATTTATTTATTGAGAGAGAGAGAGAGAGAATGATAGAGAGCATGAGAGGGAGGAGGGTCAGGGGGAGAAGCCGACTCCCCGCCGAGCAGGGTGCCGGATGTGGGACTCGATCCTGGGACTCCAGGATCATGCCCTGAGCCGAAGGCGGTTGCTTAACCAACTGAGCCACCCAGGCGCCCCGAATAATATGTTTTTTTACCACCCAATCAGAACTTACGAGACAGTGAGGCACTTCTCAGAGCGCATCGGGAAGGGTTTCACTCCAGGGTCGTGATGGCGGTGTAAGCCTTCGGCCTCCCAC